GCATTTTCCATACTCTTGAACAGTGTCCAACCAGTTCTTTCCGGTAACATTATATTTGATGGTTCATTATATCGTTTGAATTTATTCATTAGGAAGAGAAACTTGAGTTCAATATGCTAATAATAACTTGCCACAAATATTTTTTCCTCATACGATAGGTGTTGCCATCGGGGCTGGACAGCAGAGCAGAGTAGCATACGTTAACATAGGATCATATTACATAGTAGGAATCCCTGTTGGAGTTGTGCTTGGTTATATTATCAGACTACATGTTGAAGTGAGTTTTCAGGAACCAACTGGCTTGAATTTTTTATTTTTTTTTCATGTTATGATCCATTAAGTTTTTCTTATTTTTTATGATTGTGTTTGAGATAGGGTGTTTGGATTGGAATGTTAATTGGCACGCTCCTCCAAACTATCACACTCTTAATATTAACTTCCAGAACTAATTGGGATGACCAGGTAACTTGGATTTGTTAACCTTCCCATTTTTGGCCGTTGTTTTTAAAATTTTTGATACCTTTAGTATGGAGATCGAACTGCTAACTATGGATGTGATATTGCAAATACGATTCAAGTTTCTTTTTGTTGCAGGTATCCATTGCTCGTAGACGAGTTGATAGATGGTTTGTGGAAGCTGAAACTGATACAAATTTGCCGTCAACTGTCCAATGAAAAAATTTCCCCCTCGCAGTTGTTTCCCATAGGGGATGTGTTTCATAAAAAAGACATAGAATGAAGCCGAAACGTGGGAGATAATGCGGATTGTACCTCAACGCACAAATGCAGTCTAATGGGGCACGAAAACAAACACAAACAAGTTACATGTTTGATGAAAATTTATGATCCATAAATTTGTATGATCCACTTGGATACAAATAAGTAGATTTGGACTTATTTAAATGAAATTATAAGAGTATCTTCAATGCCTTATCTGAATTGCTATCTAGGTGACATGTAAATGGACGACTTCTAATTTAAGTAGCATTGGCGTCTAATTAATAGATGGTTAACTTCAAATTTTATCTCCAAATTCTAATGAGTTCTGTCTATACCTCAAGTTTCATTTTAAATGTAAATGAAGGAGAAAGAAAAATAATAAACATGAGAGAGAGCTTAAATTTTGCTCGACTCCTCCCCACTAATAGAACCTCTACATCTAGAGTTCTTCTTTAAAATGTCTAACATTGTCTATTTTACTTAGGTAGCAACTTTTTGCTATATCTTACAAGCCAAATGGAGCATGTATGAACTAGTCAGATCCTTCTTCTGTTCTTTTCTTTGGTTCAGTTAGTCCATCTTGAACTTGAATTGAGATCTTGACCATGAAGTAAATCATTCTACATACGGTCCAACCAATTGGGAGTGAATAACTTTGATAAGAAGAAAAAAAGAAGACGTTAAAAGACATCTTGTCCAACCCTAGACACTCTAAGACCCTTTTTCAAACCTTCTCCCATTCGAGTCAAAAGATAAGGGGTTGATCTCTTCGTATTTCAGTTTTGAGTTTTGCATTCATTTTGTGTTTTATATTTTAAGTGTCTGTTTTGAAATTACTGAAAATGTGTTCTTTTTGTCATTCTGAAAAACTGTTTCTTAAAACATAAAAATGGAAAATACGTTTACTTTGACATTTTGAGAATATTTTATTCAAAAAATCTGATT